ATGGTACGACAGTAAAGGTGATCAATGTGGGGGAAAAAACGTTGGATAATCGATGTGATCAACGGTAGGCGTCAGCCGTTGAATAAAAACATATAGTTTACTAACAATTTGCATGAGTCGACTGTATTTCTAATTTAGTTTTGCATGATTGGATAGCGCGAACGGACGTGTTTTCCGAGCTCTGCTTTCGTATTTTAAGCTTTGTCTTCTTCTAAAGACCACTTTAAACTGTCCACTTTAAACTTTTCATTGTTCAGCTCGCACCGATTTTTCCCCTTCCTTGTGCTATCTTCAGTGTGGTAGATATCTTTTAAAAACCTGACATTATTTCCATACGCTTTCGATGATCTCTGGATAATTTTTGTTAGATTGTTTTCTCTCTTTATACAATTTAAAAAAATCAACATCAGATCTTCAGTAAACGAGATGAATCTTTCTTTACTTCTCTACTACATTGCAGATGACATAGGGATCAAATCCTGCATAGTCTGAATTTTCCCAAACTCATTTTATAAGATCAAAATGCTCTTTCCATATGGTAGGAGGCATAAGTCGAAAGCATTATCAAAGTTGCAAATGGTAACATGCTTCACCCATTCAGGGTCTGTAAACCGAGGGAGAGATTTTTGTTTTGCTTGCCGTAGTCCCTGACTCAATGAGGAATATAACTAGCTGGAGTTCCAAAACGTGAACAAATTCTAATCGCAAGCTAGCCTAGGCAGTACCCCATTAAGACGTGGAGTGAACTCAGGGATTGTCTAGAAGCTACTTATCCAAATAAAAGTTGATAGAAAAGATCCGCAAGCAACAGCAACGTGAGTATTTACAAAGCAGTCAAGTCTAACTCACAGTAGGTACTATCGCGACAAGCGAATACTCCCAAGCCCGAGGGACACGAGAATTGAAATCAGAGACAAGCTCCCAAAGCCGGGGAGCAGAAGGATTAAGAAAACGGGCCCCATAGTGCTCCTGGGGAAGCGGCTCTAATATGGCGGGGTTAGACCTGAGAAAAGTATCAACCCCGCCTAAATCGAGGAACATATAAAACTAGGATCCATCGACGGGGAAGGACTTAATCTTCAGAGTGATCTTAAGTACTCACGGTTTTGTTTTAACGTTTTAATTTTCATGTATGCTTTAATTTTTATGTATGATTTTGTTTTAGTTTTCAATTTTCTGGTTGTGGCGCTCCGTTTTATTATTATATTATTAGGTTTAATCGCCCAAATTTGAGGTTTTGTACTAACTTTTTCGCGTTCTTGAAACAAACCTATTGGAAAAGCAAGTCCCGCGTGGCAGCACATTACGGCAAAACTACGAGAAGTCAAAGAAGGGAATTATGGAACAGAATATATTTATAGATACAGTCCTCTATCGTGTCTCAGTCTTGTAAGGTAGATAGCGGCTAGTTACATCTTACAGGAGAATAAGAAAAGGAGAAAGGAGTTCCCCATAGGGAGTGTAGAGGAAACGCTATGGCAAATGTTTTCTTGATTTTAGGATTCAAGTCGGTAGCCGCGACACGCTTCTCAAAGAGTCGAAGAGAAAAAAGATTGACGTTTCTGCGATATTCAATCAAGATTATGAAGGCAAGACTAGCCCTGATCAAGAAAAGAAACAACTGAAACTCTTACCTAAGGCCTGTATGATTACTAAATTAGATGCAAAAAGAGGTGAAGCAGCTCAAACTCTTAATGATCAGCTTCAAGTGAAATATGATGTAAAGAAGCTTCAGGCTAGCGTTCAAGCGTCCAAGACACGGTAACTAGAATTAAAGAAGAGGCTGTTGTGATGACAGATGAAAGTGCATAATGCAGATGCATGAGTTTGCTCAATCAGTTTCTGCTAGAGCCAGAACCAGTTGCATCTCGATTTCGTAGAAGAGGAGGGCAGAAAACTGAGTAGCCAGATACCAAAGACTTCAAGAAAATCACCAAAAAAATCTCTACGGAAGGGAGCGAAAAGAAGTGCAATAAGGCCAGAACAGCAACCTGCTAGGAAGGCACGACGAGAATCAACTGAAGATCAGTCAGCGGACCCCGAGAAAGAGCCTCCTGCAGAAAACGTTTGCCAAGTGATTATTAGTGAAAGTGAAGGTGCGGAAGAGCGAGGAGAGCTAGTGTCAAAGGGCGTCACTATCATAAGTACAGAAGATGCAGAAAATGCTGCTGACATTGGAAATCCATCTCATGCACAGTAAAATAGGATTCTGACTTTCTATCTTGGTACAGCAGAACGGGACAGAATTGCAGATGAAATATTGAAGAAACACGGGGTTCAAACTGCATTCGAGACTCCAGCTGGTTATATTCCGCATTGAGTCAGGAACTACAACAAGCAAAACAAAACATCTCTCCCTCGGTTTACGGACCCTGAATGGATGAAGCATGTTACCGTTTGGAACTTTGATAATGCTTTCCGACTTATGCCTCCTACCATATGGAAAGAGCATTTTGATCTCATAAAATGGGTTTGGGAAAATTCAGACCATGCAGGATTTGATCCCTATGTCATCTGTAATGTAGTAGGGAAAAGTAAAAAAAGATTCACCTCGATTACTGAAGATCTGATGTTGATTTTAATGATTTGTATGGAAAGAGAAAACAGTCTGGCAAAAATTATCCAGAGATCATCCAAAGCGTATGAAGGTAATGTCAGGTCTTTGAAAGATATCTACCACACTGAAGATGGCACAGGGAATGAGACAAATTGACAAACAGCAGTCACTCTGGCCAGGATTGCAGCCACTTTCGCTTGGCGCCGTTGCGAGGTTTCGGAATCCTGCCGCCACGCAGTAGCTCCAAAGTCAGGAGTGGATGATTTCATCATAAACAGCGTTGGACCTTACGTTCAATCTGATTATCCAATTTTTATGTGCAGTGGAACATTCTCAGCTTGCATTTACTTGAAGCTTGATAGAAGAGCTATGGCTGCTATTTATTGCGCTCATGTTGCATACCATTCACTTTTGACTAAAACATTAAACCCATCAACGGGCAAGAGAGAGCATAAAGAGATTTTGGAGTCAGTTTGTAAATTCATGAAGCCTGCAATGATGAATGGATGGATTGCTGATATACAATGAGGAGTTAAATGATGGAATGGAAGACTGTAAACAAGGATTTGACAACCAATTCAAAAGTTGACATTGCTCGGCAGGCGATGGAGAGATGGGCTGGAATGTCAATAGATCAAAATGTCGATATTTCACAAATTCAAAATCAAAGAATCAATTGTGGCTGGCGGAAGCGTATAAAGATAGATGCCTTCATGGAAAAAAAATTAAACGGTGGTGGTCTCATAATCGCATTGCTAAATTTGCTCATTGTATTATTTTTTCATTTCATAATCATAAAGCATGGTTGGAAATGTTAATTTCAACAGAATGTTGTTATTTGTCTTTGTACATCTTTTCGTATTGCCATTTCACTTATCATTCCGCAGTGAAGTTTTCGTCATGTCTGGTTGCCGTAAAGGTGGCAAAGGTCTTGGAAAAGGTAGCGCTAAGCGCCATTGTAAAGTGCTTCGTGATAAAATCCAGCAGATTACAAAACCAGCTTCAGATCGATTATCGATAGACGAGGTGGTGTGGAGCGTATCTCCGGTCTTATTCATGAGAAAACTCGTGGAGTACTGAAGGTGTTCCTGGGAAATGTGATTAGAGATACTGTTACTTATTGTGAGCACGCCAATAGGAAGACATTATAGCCATGGATGTTGTATATGCTCTGTAGCGTCAGCCTCACATATTTTGGTAAGACTTATGTTTCCCCTTACAGTACCTTATTTAAGAGTAGTTTTCCAATAAGGCACACTACCAAACCGTAATTATTTAAATTACTGTAAACCCTTTGTGCCCCTTTGTAACTGTCTTAGAGTACTTTTAGAGTTTTGTCTATCTGACATTTACAAATCATTAGATATTATCTTCCTATTTTGATTTTAACAGTTTTATCAAATGTTATCTCTAAATAATAATAATAATAATAATAATAATAATAATAATAAAATAATAATAATAATAATAATAATAATAATAATAATAAATAATAATAATAATAATAATAATAATAATAATAATAATAAGACAATAATAATAAATTAATTTTGAGATTTTTCGGAATCAGCTTCAGTTTAAGGATGAAAAAGATAGATTCTATAAGAGTCGGTAAAGTGAACTTCGATTAAGTTGGGTGAGAATAGAACTTTAGAGAAAACTGATATTTATAGGTGTACCGTAGTTTAAAATGAATCAATTAATAAAAACAGGAGATGTTTTTATGGAAGCCAGTAAACTTCGGAATCAAGGGGAACAAGAAGAACCGAATTATAAATACTACAAGCAATCAAGGAGAATAAAATGTTGTAAATTTAGAAAAGGAAAGATTTAGTAAGTTAATAGCGCAATAATTCAATGATAGTAACTCTTCGAAAGGAATAATATAATATATAACTATTTAAAGGAAATTGAAACGGTAGGTCCGAATCCAAAGTGACAACTTAAAAACTAACTCTACCCATAATCGATCCGAAGAAGAAAAATAAGTACAATAATAAAAACTTCCTCTTAGTAAGTATTTGTATTCCGTTGTTTTGTGGGAGAAGAGAGTCTGTTTTGTCTTAATAAGGTTTACATAAAGAGAAAGGGAGGCCAGTAATTAGAAATTTTCTTTGTTTTTGGTAGATGTCTCTTTTCTTCCATTTAATTACAATGAGTTTAAAAAACGTTAAGAAAACTGTTAAAATTTTGTACTTTATCGCACATTATTGTAGTGCCAACTACGACGTACATAAATGTGAAAGCAGATTATTAGGAAAAAAACAAGCTTGGGGATTGGAGCTGTTTGATTCAATAGGGCCTTCGTGAGTTTTAAAGGATTGTTCTGAAGACTGTTTCTGGAAATTGACGTTATACTGAGTCATTCTTTTAAGCCTTGAATATTGTCTCCTCAAGCTGCGGTGTTTCTCTTGGATTTCGTCAGCACTGTATCAGTTAAGAAATTGCAATCAAAAGCAAGTCGAAGGTTTTCCGGGTTAGGCTAGACGTTTGGTGGAACATAATGCCAATGGTTGGACAAGCAGAAGGTAATAAAAAATAATCGTGACAATTAAATCTTATTGGTTATTGCCTGGTCTCCTTTAAATTATTGTCATTTTTATTTAGTACTAGGCTAAACTTGACATTAAACTTCCGGTTAGTCCAAGCTGTGAATTAAGGAGAAATATGCTCTTCGTCACTATCTTTTTCATATTTCGAATTCTGCATATGAATACTCATTTTTTGTTGCCTTGGACACCTCCCAACCTGTCGTTCAAGGTTTCTTGAACCCTACTTTACAAAAGCTGCTAGTAAGAAGACCTGAATTGGAGCTGTTTTACAAAAACAGTGCCGTATGTCAACATATTTGAGAAAGGAGGCTCATCACCTTTGCTAGCTAATTAGCCGCATGACAATCTGGTGCCATCATTCTGGAAAATAATCTTGAGATTTTAGGAACAAAATTATCTTACCCTGAAAAGTACAGTTTTCAGGTACAATCTCCTTAGAGGTACTCAAGTTTCTGTGAATTTTAGTCTCTTTCGACAAACCACACATCACTCATTGACGTGCAGGATTTCATGACCAGTATGGAATCAGGAACTTTACACAAAAGCTTCAGAACGTATTTGTTGTAGAATTTTTTACAATTTTAAAATTAAAGAAAAGTTGCAGGTAGATAGCTTTGCAGTGGGGGTAGTTATGAATGTTAAAATGAGTGCAATGTGGACGGATAAATGTGGTAGTTTACCCGACAACATCGCTGTCCTCCATATAGCTCGGTAACAGCTGGTCCTAAAGTTACAAATTGTCACGACTAACTAACAAATCTTTGACGCTCCAATACACTCACTGTATTGTAAGGTTCCCCATACAAGTTTTTAGAGAAGACTAAACGTACAACTCTACTGAAAAAAAGCAATTAGACACTTGCTATCTTACAGCACCAACAATTTGTAAAGCTTTTTTCCTCAGTTCTTGCCTCTCTGAAAATCTTGACCATCGTCCACTCAGAGACGAATGGGTTTTGAAGCCGAGAGAACTTGTGACAGTATACCGCATAATTCACTGCTACTTATCACGGCTACTTAATTTTTATTCCCCCAAAGTTATCCATGATAAAAATCTACTGAATAGTAAGATTTGATACAGTTATGAGAAATATTTTTGAGCATAGATCCAAAAAGCTCGCCTAGTAACTGCAACGAGTTAAAAAGAAATAAATTAGTGCACAATAACCCAGAAAACAATTACCTTATATTTAAAGTTAAAATCCTACAGTTGCCAGAGAGCAGAAGAGATAGAACCAAAAGCGGAGGAACACACAAAATAAATTAAAAACACAGAAAACTGTAGAGACGATAGATAACACATAGCAGACAAGAAATACTGTGAGTAATCTGGATGATGCTTTGACAAGGATACCCCTCTCTCCCCTCACACTGAAGTTCCTTTTTATAGAGGCCGAAGGAGGCAAAGAGCTGCCGTCTCACCTCCAAAAGCTTCCCGCTGCAAGCAGCCAGAGTTCGTGCCTTGAGACCTGTCGTACTTTCGCGTATGGTCGCAACACAAAAATTCTATGGGAACAACTGCAAAAGAAGACACTGAGGATGACAAAGAATCTGTGCGCAGCAATTTTGTATGGGCCACCAATGACATCAAATAAAACAGACTGTAAAGGATATTTTCGGAGTTAATCTACAGCAGACTTAAAATTCGATGAACTTGAGCAGACGCGAAAAATCTCAAAAAAGGATTGTTAATTTCTACAAGTTCCTGATGCTAAAATTTTTTTGCCTTCACGGTTTTCATAGGATGTTCGTAGAAGAGGCCGCAGCCGTAAAAGTGACTGCTATTTCGTGCCAGAACATCAGCTACGGGGAGCGGGGGCGGTTGTTATTGCTACATAAATGTCAACTGCCATCTATTTGCGTATATTCGTCCGCACACAGATATAAGTCGTAAGATTGATACGATGTAACTTCTTATATTTCTTATATGTAAGGAAAAACTGACTTTTTGAATTGTGATCTTTATTAACAGTCACCGAAACGGTTGTAGATGCTAACGAAAACTTTAACTTCCTAGTGTGTTTTTTCATTCAAATTTCTCTGGTTCGAAAACCATTAAAAAAATTTGCCGCGTCAGTAGCCATGCAGAAATAACTTCAGGAACTCAACAGTTTTGCAAATTAATATTCAACAAGTCCATTTGGTCCAGTTTCATTTATTCTGTTTCATCGAAACGTTTAAATGGACACTCATTTTACGCGTAAGCCATTAAACTGTAACCGCTGACTAGGAACGAATTTCAATATTTAGTTTTGGTTTTAATTTTCGAAATCTCAATTTTTTGATTCCAGAATGAAACGAATCGTTTTTTGGTTATGGTTTTAGTGATGGCAAAATTTTCAAAAATTTTTTGTCCATAATTGCGAAAGTAAATCCTGCTATCTGTATTCGTTTCAACTTTTGAAGGTCTTTGTCGATTTATTCAGATACAAACTGTATGCATGTAACAACCTCCAGATTTTAAAAGGTCTGAAGCGAACAGAAGTTCCTATTCCCTTGCACGGTTTGTATCCTGTAGATTATGTGTTTCGTAATGGAAAAGCAGTGCACCTATCAAAGCAATGCGTACGCTATGATTGCCCAATGAAAGGCAAGCGATTCAGTTGGAATGAGCTGGATAAGTTTTTGCCACGCCTTCCCAAACAGAGGATGTTAGTTATGTGCTCGTCGTTGTCCGCCAGCGCTCGCAGTGCTACCGTATACGTATTGTTCCGATGGATCAGTTTTCTGTCTATTTTTGCATTTGCTTTAGTTTCGGTGTTGGTGAAATAAATTTGTTCAAATTTGCCGAATTATTCAAGAGGTTTCCCGTTTAGCGGGTACATGAATTCTTACAGAGATGTAAGGGGTTTTTTTTGCAATATGTTAGCAAGTAGAACAAATTTTCCGGTAAAAAACTGGTGTTGGCGTGTTGCTGGAATGGCTAAGAATCTTCGTTCTGGGATATTTGTATTTAATGGGTCTACGTAAAACAAGTCCTGGATAGAACTTCAAAGAAGTGGGTTCTTCTTATTTTTTAATTTTTGTTAGTAAAAAAATCCCGAGAAATCTAACAGGAAGAGTCGAACGGATATGGATTTAGTAGTTGAGTGCGCGAGTTATTCTCGTCGAAGACGATTTAATTGTTCACTACGGATTTTAGAGGATTTAGTAGCAGTCATGGTGTAAAGCGATAAGTTTTTTATTCATTTTCAAATAACAAAAAATCTCATTGAAGATTTGCAAACGCTCTTTCTAAGTGCACTAATTGACTGTAAAAATTTAAAGCAAGGGAAGTGGAAGACAGTTTACGATTGAAAAAACGCTTGAGCACTTACTGCTTGCTGAAATACTTTTGACGAATTTATTTACGAGTTTAACATTGATAAAATCTGAATTGTTTTCTTTTTGAATGTCTAAAACCGTAATGAATTAGCGAAGGTATATTCTAAAAATTTTTGCAATCGATACTTTCCGAAAGCTGTCACGTAGAATCAGGGAAAGATGCACTGAATTTTTTTTTTTTTTTTTTTTTTTTTTTTGCTGTGCTCATCGTAACTTTCTGGCCCGTTTAAATACGGCGATACCCGGTAGCAACGATACAATGGGACAGCGTTTGGATGTATTTTGCAGCTCAAACGAACAGTTTGTTGTTAGCTTTTTTTTGTCCGCGATCCGTTTCTACAGTTTGTTTGTTTCTGCCAGATATCATTGATTCAGCGTTCAATGCTGGAAGTAGATGTAGCGCTTCCGAAGGGGTCAAAGAACAGCAACCCCTGAAGCAATTCAGGCATTGAGGTACACTGTAGAAGAAGCGCCAACAAACATTCCACCTCGTCATTTCATTGGTGTTTAAATTTATGCTGACTGTAATTTTTGTTAGATTTGGTGTCTTACGTTTTTTTAAAGTTGGATTTATGCTTTCTATTTACAGAGCTTTTATCATTGAGTTGGCCCAAAACCAAACAACTGCCATTAATTTGCAGCTTTTAAAATTCTAATTTGGATTTAACATAATTTTTCCATTTTTAAATTGTAATTGCAGCTTTTTCTTGGTGATTTGAATTAACAAAACCAGAAGTTAATTTCATAATATCCAGTTACGTGTTTGCTGTTTAAGCATCATTTTCTTCCCATTGCTGATATTTAATTTCACCGATAGTGTTTTTTGTGATCTTAAGATATTTGTTTTGTTCGTACGGTGCTTTTCAATTCATCGTAATTGTTTTCAACTTTATTAAACGAATCAGATGTTTAATTGTCGTCATTAACAGTTGTAAAATTTATGACGGTTAAAATGTTATTTTGTTGTTCTACAAGACAGAAAGTGCGGTCAGAAAAAAATTTTTGAAAAAATGTATGATGAAGGCATAACCGATGATAGACATCAATCTTACTTTCATATTTGTATATTTTATGCCGTGTGTTGGTAATAAGAGACTTCCGGAAAAAGCAGTTTGACAGTAAAGTGTTTACGTATTTGTTTTTTTGTTTTTGATTCTTTTTTTTTTAAACTCTTGAACTGATAGTATAAAAGAAGTTAAACAGAATTTGCACATTAAGTTAAATGTAGTTGCTGTTCTTTCGGTGTTATTACAAATGTATAGTTGTTAGTGGGTTCAGTTTATTTTGATCCATTGGATAGGTCATCCCTTTCTTCAAAGCTCGTAGGCGGTTGGAAAAATGTGGGTTACTCGGAGTTACTAATTTTTTGTTTCTTGCCCTGTAACTCTTTTAGGCGTTCGCAAAAGTTAAGAATGATTTTTCAAGACTTATTTTAAGCCACTTTTGGGAGGATTCGAAATTGTCTGATTAATTGTAGTTTTCAAGAGCATTTTGAATTTGGTGGCAGTTTACCTCCGACTTGTACTTTTAGCCAAATGAGTAACAGCTTTTGCTGTAGACAACAGTGGGTTCCTTTCTTTTGATTAAACACGAAGTGAATTGATTTATACAAGTTAGGGGTTATGGAAGTAATCTTGGAAAAACTGTTGGTTTCTGGTTGAACGCACAGAAACTGTTGAAGACATTTTTATTCATTATTTTTGAAGTTCTCTGGTAAGCTACAAAGTATTATTCAGGTTTCATTAGGCTTCCAGGGCAGTAGTATTATTTGAACTTAAGAGACCACAGAAGTATTGTGGAACTTTCAGGGCGTTAAATGAACTAAACTTATGGAGCGAACATCATACCTCCATCTAACGCATAATACTCATCCCCTAGTTACGGCCGATATGAACGCCAGAAAGTCAAATGGTAAGAGCCGACGGTTTATGATTCTTCTGCTAAGTTTTTTTCAAAGAATTTCGATACTTTATTCAGTGTTCATTTCTTTGTTTTTTTTTTT